AAAAAAAAGGTAACATGATACAAAAATACAATAAGGAACCAAAGAATAAGTGTTCAGAATAGATAAAATTATCAAAATAAAAATCAAAGTGAACATTTTCCTTAGTCGAGATATATAAGTTTGACTCAAGTATAAACAGAAGACATCTAATGCATAATTTCCTAAAATGCCTAAGGTAAAGTTGTTCCAAAAAGTGAGTTCATGGGAATCTCTAAGCATTTTCACATTCTCTGGGGCACTGCAGATCCTTTATAAAGAATGTGATTCTCCAAAAGCAGTCTTTCGAAAACTTCAACCAGCAAATACATTTTTCAGTAGTACAGCACTGCTATAACAATGGATGAGGGGATAGCGACACTAGAAGTTTATATAACTAATTACATTATTAATAAGGAGTTACGTGACTTAATATTACGTATTTAGTCTTAAGTTTAAAAAATAATAATTATCATGCAAATGGTAGCATGAGATTAGAGGACACCTTGAGAATTATTTTGAAGAAACATAAATGTCAAAATGAAATGCATTTTAATTAAATCTTTAGAAAGAAACCAGTATTTCTGATATTTTATATCCACATTTAATATAAATTTAAATAGTTATTTCATAATACTTGTATTAGATTAACAACCAAATAATCATCATATAAAACTAATATACTAAATAAAGGCATGATTTTCACAAACCTTCAAAATGATTTAAAATACTAAAATAGTCAAAAAATATTTCTTCATTAGTATCAGAAAAAGAGAATCAGCAATAGAAAAATATTTTTGAATTGCACCTAAAATAGTAAAGTGTGACATACCTGGGATTTCCCCTTAGGGCAGCATGATGTAGAGCATTAAATCCATTATTGTTTGTGATGGTAACATCTGCTCCAGCTTCCAAAAGAACTGCTAGGATATCATCACGTTTCTTACTTATCGCATCATGAAGAGGAGTATCACCTTCAGAATCCTTTAAGTTGAAGAGATTTTCATTAGTTCTTCAATTAATCAACTCATGTAACAGTAATACTCATACCAAATTGCTAAACAAACAGAAACAGAGACCATATCCAACAAATACCAATAAAAGAGCACTATCTGTGATAAATATAAAAATACAGGCAAAGACTGGGCATGCTGGCTCATGTCCGTAACCCTAGCCCTTTGGGAGGCTGAGGCGGGAGGATCCAGAGGCCAAGAGTTCAACACCAACCTAGGCAACATATCAAGACCGTGTCCCTACAAAAATTTTTTAAATTAGCCAAGTGTAGTGGTGTGTACCTATAGTCCTAGCTACTCAGGCTGAAGCAGAAGAATGGCTTGAGCCCAGAAGTTCAAGGCTGCAGTGTGCTGTGATCGTGTCACTGCACTCCAGCCAGGGTGACAGAGCGAGACTCTAGCTCCAAAAATTAAAAAAATAATAAAAAAAAAAAAATACAAGCAAGAAACACTGGTCACATTATAGTAAGGAAAGTCATACTCATATCTAGTTGGAAAACACCATAAACAAACAAACATGCTGAAGTTTCTTTTTTTTTTTTTTTGAGACAGAGTTTTGCTCTTTTGCCCAGGCTGGAGTGCAGCAGCATGATCTCAGCTCACTGCAACCTCCACCTTCCAGGTTCAAGCAATTCTCCTGCCTCAGCCTCCCAAGTAGCTGGGATTACAGGCTCCCAACACCAAGCCTGGCTAATTTCCGTATTCGTAGTAGAGACAGGGTTTCACCAAGTTGGCCTGGCTAGTCTAGAACTCCTGACCTCATGATCCACCCACCTCGGCCTCCCAAAGTGCTGGGATTGTAGGCATCAGCCACCGCTCCTGGCACATGCTGAGGCTTTACAAAGAAAAAAACAGAATAGAATAGAATAGAATAGAACAGAATAGAATAGAATAGAATAGAATAGGAATAGAGAGCCTCAAATATAACTAGTGACAAAAACTAATGAGGTGAAAAAGCAGAACTCCAAATTTAATAACTTTAAAATGATCTTAATCATTGTACTGTGAAATTCCATATCAAATCTACACCATAACAATGAAAGTCAGTGGTTTTCAACCTTGGCTTCTCATTAGAATCTGCTCGGGAGATCTTTTAAAATCTTTTATACAGAAAAAAAAAGAGAGAGAAAAAAATCTGATGTCTAGGCTCTTCACCATACTAAATCTCTAGAGGTAAGAGCGAGGCATTAGCAACTCTTCAAAGCTCCCCAGATGAATATATTGTGTAGTCACACGTGAGAATCATTAAACTAAGCATTTTCAAAGCGCAGGAAAGTGGCTAGTTAGCCAAAGGTAAAGCAACTATAAATGAAAATTTAGCAATCTCAGTCTACCATTTTTTAAGCTGCTTTTTACACTAATCAATTGACTTAGCAGTAAGTTTTTATTCATTAGCAGTCATGTATATACATGAATAATTTAGATTTCATTCATTTCATAGTTTCACAGATGCTATTCTAAGTCATATATAACCTAGCCTATAGCCTATATTACAGTTGCCAAATCCAGCTTTCCATTTGTTTTTTGTTTAATTACGTTTTACTAGACATGTTTCCTGCATGGTTTGTCTCCCCAGTGATTGTCCACAGGACTCTGAGAAGCTACAGGAATATGCAGGTCCACCAGACCCAGCTTCATCACCAATGCTGTAGAAAGAGACTACATCATGGGGCAGAGCCCTGTGCTCCCCTAAGTCATGTGGACAGAGCCTGGAAAAAATGATCTCCCAGGGTATTACACGTTGAAGCCACCTGTTTTTGTAAAATATTGGAACACTGCCACACCCATTCATTTATGTATTATCTATGGCTGCTTTCATTCTGCAATGACAGAATTAGATAGTTGTGGTAGAAGACAAATGAAAGCCTAAACTATTATCTGTGTCCATTACAGAAAATGTTTGCTAATCCCAGGAATATATTTAGCAACTTATCAACACTTTTAACACTGGTTATTTCTAAGTGATGAGCCTGCACTTTTCTGTATATTCAAGAGCATAAAGAATTCCTGCCAGGCATGATAGTTCACACCTGTAATCCCAGGACTCTGGGAGGTGGGAGCAGGAAGATTGCTTGAGCCCAGAAGTTTGAGACCAGCCTGGGTGACGGGGAGACCCCATTTCTACAAAAAATTAGGCAGGCATGGTGGCTCACACCTGTAGTCCCAGCTAACTTGGGAGGCTGAGGTGGGCCCTGAAAGTTGAGACTACAATGAGCCATGATCATGCCATTTGCTCTGGTCAACAGAGCAAGACCCTGTCTCAAAAAAAAAGAATTCCTAACCCAAGTTCAATCCAATCATCTACCTTCTATCCTCCTATATCTGGTGACACTAAAAATGTGTAGTGTTCAACCTGAAACGGGCTTCTGATATGACTGGAATACCCTGCAGGTCCCCAAATCCTTATCACTCTTCTCAATTACTCTTTCTCTACAACCCACACTCACACTCTCAACAGATGACCTTGTCTCCCATTTCAGACAAAAAAGGTCAGCAGGTATAAATTGCCCCTCCTTACCGATTAACACCCCCCAATTCTTCCCTCATCCTCCAATCCTGCCTCCCACTTACAAGGACATACCCCAGATCCCATCAGTTCCAAACCAGCTGCACTTCAGAAAGCTTAGTTTCTAGTAATTATCTAGCTGAACAAAATCTATTCTTTCAGTTCTTCTCAAGCCCTCATTCCCACTACTACTGTTCTTCTTTATTACTTCCCTGAGATCTATCCAATCCAGCAACCAATTCCTGGATGCTGTAAATTATCTAAACTGCAAGCAGCTTATGATTCTAACCACCGTCCCACTTTTTAAAAAGTCATTATTGAGTTTCCAATTGAAACAAATTATGTTTTACATATACAAATAGTGTTTCAGGGAATATTTTTATTTAAAAATATTATGTTGTTTCAAGACTATTCTGTTAAGGAACCTAAACGTTGGCAAATTAGTTTCAGGTCCTGTTTTATTTTGCTACAAAATTACTAAGTATAGAAACTTTAATCAGAGAGGTACACAAAAGACAAGTTGCTTAGTAACCAAACTAAGCAGATAATGAACACAGACTACATTTTCCATATATCTATGGTTTAATCTGGTTATAAAACTGTAGCTGGGATAATCAATTCTTAGGAACCACTGCTTCAAAAATTAGGTCCTACTGTAAATCAACTCTAAAATCCTATACATTTTCCAAAACAGAAAATCTCCGAAGACTACACTAATGACTATTCAAAGTCCCTAAGCTACAATAAAAGCTACAATTAAAATAATTTAAGTAGTTATGAAGTAACTATTATGAAATATGAACTGTTGAGGCTCACTGTCATGATCAATAAAGTTGAATCCATTCATAAGCTGATATTTTTACAAGGACGTCCCCATTCTCACTGCCCAATCTAAACCCAATCTATTGATTTTTCTAAAGCAAAAAAAAATAAAACAAACAAACAAACAAAATAGCTGAGGGACAGAGCCACACGCACAAAAAAAATAGCTGCCAATTTTGTAACATCTTATGCCTTTGGTATCATTTATGACCATACGAGAATGATAACAACGGAATGCTTACCATAGAACTTAATGTTTCCCTTTAATAGGATCCTACCAATACCTGCAGGATATATTTCTTTAAAGGATTTACCTGAAGACTGGGATGACAGCCAAAGTCCAATAAAGTCTTCACAACTTGAAGATGACCTTTATTGACAGCAATATGAAGTGGGGTCTGTCGGCGCTTGTTTCGAGCATTCAAATCAGCACTGCCTCGGTGTAGCACTTCTATAACAGCACCTTCATCTCCAAAAGCTGCATGGTGAACGGCTCTATCACCGTCTTTATCCTAAACATTAGCATTGAAATCTCAATTAGTGAATATTTTAGAAAGAAAAAAAACTTGACGCTGTAATAATACACCAAGAAGCAGATTAATTTGAGAAAAGGAAACATAGGATGGAACCAACAAAATAACTAGAACTTGGCCAGGCACAGTGGCTCATGCCTGTAATCCCAGGACTTTTAGAGGACAAGGCAGAAGGATGACTGGAGGCCAAGTAAATTGTACATTTGAATAAGATTTTCAACAAGACCAATCTGGGCAACATAGCAAGTTCTTGTTTTGTAAAGACAGTCAGGTATAGTGGCATCCACGTGTAGTCCTAGCTACCTGGGAGGCTGATGCAAGAGGATCACTTGAGCCCAGGAGTTTGAAGTTACAGTGAGCTATAATTGCACCACTGCACTCTGACCGGGGCAACAGAGTGAGACCCTGACTCTATAAAAAAAAATTTTTTAACCTACAAACCGACTTGAGTAGTGGTTACCTCCCAAAGATAAATGATAAACTTAGATCAAGATATCATATACATATTATATACATATATATCAAACAAAGTTATATTATCAATCTTTCAGCACTCCTCATTTATCAGCCATGATGCTAAGCCAACTTTTTTTGCCATTTAAACATTTTTACAAAGACTTTTTTTTTTTTTTTTTTTTTAAAGAATCAGGGTCCTGTTCTGTCACCCAGGCTGGAATGCAGTGGCACAGTCATAGCTCACTGCAGCCTTGTACATAGAAAGCACACTAAGATGAGTTGTGTGACTGAAAAAAAAAAAGAATGCCAAACAATGTGATCTGGATTGGCTTTAATGGGCAGCAACTTATCAACACTTTAACACTGGTTATTTCTAAGTGATGAGCATGCACTTTTCCGTATATTCAAGAACAGAAAAAATACATTAAATAACACCATTAAAAGATGAAAATGAAGCACAAACTACCAAAATTCCATGTATCAAAAATTCTAAAACTATTTCAGAAGACTCAAATTTTCCTCACCTCCTGTAACAGGCCTATCTCTGAAGAAATGAGAAGACTCAATTGCTTACATTTTTTGAAGTACTTTATAAAGGGGGAAAAAATGCCTGCACTGTGCAATGAAGGTAGTATACATAGTTTATACCAAAAAGTATGAAAAGAAGTCTCACTGCCTTGCCAGAAGCGATGGAAAAGGGTATTAGGTATAAGGGTACCGCATTTATTTGAATACTGCATCACAAATTCTGATACCCACCAAAACCATTTGTCTGTCCCTGTTACTGGTACTCTAAGACTTACTCCATCAAGAGCAGTGGTTTCTGGTTCTCAACACCACTGTGCCAGCCCCCGGTGGGCTCCCTAGTTTTGCAAGGGGTTTGACAATCCATATGGCACCCAGGATTAGCTAAATTACTTTTCAAAGATAACACAGATAAACACTGTTGTGATTAAATGCACTTAAATAGTTCATTAAAAACAATCACAGAATTCAAAGTAGTTTTTGGTCATATTTTCTCAAACAGATTAAATGTAAAAGCATTCATGCAGGAATCTACAACAGTTTGACAATCATTTATTGAAAAGGTAGGGAACTACAATTCAGGGATATTACTACCTTACTATATTTCCAGCTGAATCAGTTTTTATTCTCAATTTTGAGAGAGGAACTGGCAAACAACCACATGAAATATCTAAGATTCAACTCTTGTACCTTTTTCCTGGTGGTCTTGTGTTTGGTGGTCTTGCCTTAGGTTTTGGCACTCTCTCTCAACTCTTGTGCCGCTGAGAGGCATTACATTTAAACATGACAGAAAAACAAGTGTTTTACCCAAAAAAAAAAGTTTTTTAATAAGACATATATACAAATTAATCTCTCTAGTAACATAGAATTCAGAATCTTAGAGTTAAGATCTTCCCAACTTCCAGTCTTTCGTTTTTTTCTGTTACAGTTTTTAACCTTATTTTATAATTCACCTTCTGTTAAAAAAGTGAACATCAGGCCACTAACACTGAATAAAAACAGGAACTATTTATGAAGTACACCATACATTTATGGTTGTTAGAAAACCACTACTGAAACAACTTAATGCAGGTTCTGTCAATAATTTACATAAAAACAAACACCAAAGAATTACAAACTCTGATATATGTCAAAAGGAAAAAAAAACAATTTTTAAATTATGAAAAACACACATGCATATTAGAAAATTACAATTAAATACAAAATTAATTTACTTCCAAGTTTCTCTTCTAAATTAGAAAACTGCAGTTATAAATAAGACCTTAGCTTTTAAGTTATATTGCTTTCTTCTGAATTCATCTTAAGTACTCCAAATAAACCTAAAACACAGCTCATTTGCCTGTCCCTATTACTAGTACCAAAGAGAATTTTAAGAAACAAGGTTACAGCTGACCTCTACAAGACTATCTCAAAGAATCTGTAAAGGGCCTCAAATTAAATCTAAAACTGATCTTGTTTGTTTCTACTCTCTTGCCCTATTCTCTCTCCTCTCAATTTCCAAAACCTGCTCTTGTTTAGTATTGCCAATCTTAGCCGACAGAACTACAGGCCATATGGTCAACAAAATCAGTATCTGTAAGTCACAGTCAACTGCTTCCTCTCTGTGAGTCTCTATATGCAATAATCAAACTCTGCAGCTTTTACTTCTCAATCTATTCTCTCTTCTCCAACTCTACCACAAACTCATTCAGGCCATCATTCTGACTACCTGGACAATTACTACAACTCAACCTCCCTCCACTTTCTTATCCCACTCTATTCTTCACACCAAAGTCAGAATTCTCTCTGTAAAACACCAATTTTATGTTTAAACCTCTTCAATGTCTCTCTACTATGTACAAAACAAATGCCTGTTGAGCCCTATCTCTGTGAACCATTCCAGCCTCGCCTGCTGCCACAGTTC